TTGCCTGACGTTATAATTGCATCTCTCATTCCCGTGCGAGAAAATGATTAAAATGATTATCGAGGAGAATATGCGGGAAAGATCAATGTATTATTCAGTGAAAGAATTTCAAGAAAAAAAACGTATGTAGATTATTAAAAAAAAAAAAGCAACAACGACATTGTCTCGAGATAGAAAATTACAAATCCGTAAAACTCGTTTTCACCGCAAAAAAAATAATAAAAAGGTCGAACCGCAAAAAGACATAAATTAAAACGTTCACAGCGGTTTAAAGATACAAAAAATAAATACAAGTAACAAAATTGGCAACAGAGTCAACGCGCGGTTAATTGGCTCGTGTGAGATTTTGTCAAAAGCAAACACGCGTTTCGACACAATTGGAAATTGTCCGTTCTGCGTACGGAGTTGTGTGAGCAAAACCGACACTTTTACGAGAGAGAGAGATATATATATAATAACGTCGCGATAACAAAACCGTCTGCATATCTAATAACCGCGTGTCATGTTTTTTTTTTTTTGTTTCCGTTTAAATGCCAGCGCTCGACGCGTTAGTGTGCGAATAACTGGATGACAAAGCGAAATCCCGACAGTAGTTGGCGCGGGTACACCACTGATCTCGCGCGCACTGCATGTGCGCGCGAGATGAGAAGTCTCTGCTCGTTTCTAGAGGTTTCTCTGCGCTTGCCTTTCTAAAACGGCATCCAGCGGAGAAATGCGAGAGAGAAAAGAGAAGCCGAACCGAAGGAGAGAATCGGGCGCCGCGTACATCGGCGTACCATACACAGATTGTCTTTTGAAACGATTTCCATTTGTCCCGGGAATCACTTCTGAAACGCGCCGCCGTGTTTATAAGCGAAATTGCAATAGCCGCAACCGACAAACGCAGACGGCGAAAGTTTCGACTAGTCGCGACTAGTCACGTCGTTTTGGTTTTTTTTTCTTCGTTTTTTTTTCGCTGAGGCTAATCGCTCGAGATCAGGTGCCGATCAATCGAGAGCGGCGGATCAATCAATCTTGCTTTTTCTTCGATTAACCACGACACACGTATATCTACTTGACTTTTTACACATCGCCGCGTATGCAAATAGAATACTTGAAAAAAAAAAAAAAAGATCGTTTAAGTAGAAAATATACAACGCGGAAAGAAAATAATCCGATTAGATGTAACAGACGCGTTTTTAAGGAGATAAAAAATTTACAATCGCGCGCGTCGTTCTCGGAGAACAAATCTCGGTTTGTGTTCCCCTTTTTGCAATCCATTGTAGTATATCTCCACATTGAGATAATAATAAAGCGTCATTCTCTCACAATATATAATTACGCACACACCACGAGAAGAAAGCGACAGTGAAATGTCAAACGATCACGTTAATCTGTTCCATATCTTTCCCGAACTGCATCAGCGTAATCATAATCGCGTACGCACGCGTAATTACGTGAGAATTAGAAGAGCGGAGGAGAGGCAATCGTGTAACCGAAAGTGTTGTTCTATTCATCATCACGCAGCAGGAAATTTATTCGCGATTATTAAATACCTCCGCGAGTTCTTCCACAGAGAGAAACTCTTCTTCTCTTGAATATATTCCCTCTTGCGATTAGGATCGATGCAGTTGCGATACTCGCGATAATAACTTTGTTCTTGTTTGAATGAAACCGCGTTTGTTTTTTCTCTCCAAAGTAAGAGACTGCTCCTCGTTCCACGTCGTCGTCCTTCCACTTGTTTATGAATAGAATAACAAACAGACGTGCGCGCTTGCGTCACGCACGCGCTTATTTGTATTCTTCGAGTAAATTTTGCTAAAAACGACCGACATATGTCGCGCATTTTAAGTCGTCGACAAACATAGATCCCAATTTTTTCAAGGATATTAGAAGATTGTTTACCGTCAACCGCAAAACAACACATTCCTCATCTGATGAAGATAATTTTTTGCACTTTGAATCATTTTACAATTATTGTTTTTTGTTTTTAATTATTTGTTCACATATTTTGTGTGTTCGGTTGATACAACGGCCAAGACTATATCGAAGATATCTTTTATTTTTGCGACTAATTAATTTCAACTCATTTTTAATCTAAAACTTTTGTTTTAAATTCGCGTCTACCAATCGCGTCTCTGAGTGTTTACTTGGTTTTTTCTTGATTTCACACTCGTTTTCGTACGCTACTTCGGAACAAATAATATTTGAACGCAAACGTATCTGAATCGGATCGTCCTTTCGCGCGCATCGAACATTGACAACGATCGTGGAGAATGGTCACGCGGAGAAAGAAAATGCGTTTTAAATTCGCGTTCGGCCGCGACCGAAACGTTTTACTTTCACGTCACGATATCGACGGAGACATAGCGCGAGCGATTACACAGCTCGCGACCGCAGTACAGACAGACAGTTCGCCGCTGTCCTACTCTCTTCGAAAAAAGAACTAGTTGGCGAATTACGAAGAATCGAAGAACCAGGAAGGAAGAGGAAGGCCGTTGTTGAGCCGCGATGATTGCAACGTTGAAAGTGTATTTCCCAGTCGCGCGTCGTTACTCAAACCGCCGCCTCGACGGTTCCTCGTCGCCTTTACATCTCGCTCGAGATCGCGGTGAGATCGGACGAGAAGCGAGAAAAAAACATAATATAGCGTGGTTAATTGTTAAATTATTTTGCGGTAACAAATGTGTTCAATGGGTTTGCGTAAGATGTAAAACTAATTGCCGAGCGATCTTCAACTTCTTTGATAACGTGGTACGTGGCGATACAAGAAAACTTGTCGGAGATTTTCGCGTGAAAATGAATCTTCAAGCGGATGTTTATCATTCGTTCGAAAAAAAATGCGAACGCACGAAAATTGCAAATTTTCTTGATGTTGAAGAGCACGAGTCGTTTTTCCGAACGACGTAAAGACACGAGAAGGGAAGTTTGTATGTCAGCAGCGAGTCGCGTATCGAGAGTTCAACACCCACTCTCTAGCGTCCACTCCTTCTCATACAAATCCCATGTACGTACAAAACTATCCACACCTCATTTCTATTAAAAATGCAGGAATGAGATGTCATTGATCCCGCCTTGTAAATACGAACACCCGGCCTCCGCAAGAAGAAACGTCCACGGCTAGAAGAAAGAGGGAGATTATATTGAGGAGAGATTCTTGCAAAACCCGTAACAATAATATTGCGAATCCCGCGGGGGTATATAACGCACACGCGAATTACCGTTAATTTATCGATATCTAAAGTTTCGACGATGTCTTCGCGCGTCCAATTGACGACAATTACGATCAATCGTACGCGCGAGATTTTCGAATCGTTAAATCATATCAAATTGTCGTCAAAATGGTCTACAATCGATAAATTTTTGCCGGACGCTTGTTTCGTCATTATTTATTTCGTAAACTATCGCGTAAACTTTAGAGGAAACAATTATTTTTCGATATTGCTTTCGCGGCGTGTTGCAAAAATTCTTTAATCTAAAAAAGAAATCAAACTTTTCTCTAAAGTAATTAAATGATTGATTGATTAAAAAGATTGATTTGGATTTAATAATTCTTTAATTTTGTTTGACAAAAACAACGGACGTCGGCAACACAATGGAACATCCGTGTTCGTCGGAAACATCAAATCTACTATAGAGAGAAAGTGATCGAAATCGATGCCTGACGCAATTAAAAAGTGAAACGGCAGATCGAGTATTGGTTAACGTGCTGTTTACTGTGCGAAGTGCGAAGTACTTGAAACGTCGAAGCGTGTCGCAAAAGAATCCAACCCCGAAACCGCAGACGTATCGATAAACTCCGGATCGTTCTCTCGGGTTGTTGTGATATCGGCGAACGTAATCGGGCTCGAAATTACGATTTCATCGCGCATTCTACTAGTTAACCGCACAAATGTGTTAGTTACAATAAAATCCAATATTGCACAAGTGTTATTATACAAAGTTAAAAACGCGCCATTTTGTCAAACAAATAAATTTTAGCAATTCATTGCGCAGTCCGATTAATTATTATTATTTAAATAAATGTTCCTAACAGTTTTCATTAAGAAAAAGAATTTGTGTTCACAAAATTAAACAAAGTCTCTTTTTTCTTTCTTCCCTCTTCCCCTTCACAGTGACACTCGGTAACTTCGCATCCACGTGTGTTGCCACATACGTTGCTAATTGCGCAAAGCATTAGAAAACGTTGGTGCGAGCTAATGGCCCACGGAAAATCTCAACGCAATCAAACACATATTATTGCATACATCGCATCTTCTCGAGTAGGTGGCGCGTGATAATTGATGCGCGCGTATCAATTCGCGGATAATAAATATGCGCGCGTTGCTGGCGCAACTTCCTTCGGCCGCGAATACCGTTCGTTTTAATCGTGGCAACGCGCAAACGCCAACGTTGGTTCGCAACACCAACTCAATTCGGCTACACAAAGTGTTCTTGTTCGCGCTGAAAACAGAATTTGATTCTCCAGCCCAGCACATTTTCCCGTTACAACAAATCACATTCCTCGAGAAAAGAATGTGAGATACCTTTGTAGAGTGCAGATCGCTGTTTCGGATATATTAAAAATGTTTAATTTATCGTTGCAGAGAGCTTGTACGATAAAGTAAATAACGAATATAATGATCGCGCCGAATTAAAATCCAAATGGGCGGTTTTTACTTGTTCCGGTGACATTTTTGTTGGAATATTTCATTTGATCGATAAAAAAAAAAAAAAAATCAAACAATCGAGTAACACGTGAGATCCAACGGCCGATCTATCGCCGGGGAACAACCGTGTTCCTTTCACCCGAGTGACTTTTAATTGAGAGACGAAAAGGAGAAGGAGGAGGAGAAAAAGAAGAAGGAGACAAGGAGACACGAGAGGAGAATGAGAAGGAGAACACCTGGGGTGTGATCGCGCCCAAGGAACGGTTCTTTATGCGGTCGAGAGACTCACGATATATACTTTTATCATGACGTAATGCACTTGCTATGCGCTCAATGTCGTGCTAAATCAGTTGCTATGTTTCTTCCACTCACCGAAACGTTGATCTCTCTTTTCCAAAACGATCTCGCCCAAGTAACAATCGCAGTCCACCTGAAAGGACACGCCGATCTCTTCCACGATCCTCAGGTTTGTCAAATAAGTGCTGTAAAAGAAAAAAAAACAACAAAAATACAAGTCAAGTGCGAGAGTCGATATCAATCTCGGTTGATAATTCGTCATAAACTTACCACTTCTTCCACTTGTTTATTCTGACGGATTCGTACGGAAGAATCGATTTCAAATTACCGTTATTGCCCACAACGAGGACGGGATCTTTGCGAGAATCGTCCTCCAGAGCGTTTGTTTCGAATCCTGTGTAAACGATCGTCGCCTGGATGTCCTGCTTGAAGTCAATGTGTACCAAAAATAATCTGTAACACAAAATAATTTTGTAATTGACGAGACATTAGAAATATTTTTGTTAAGACACAATTTTCTTCTCACCTGTGATATAATCTGTAATCTCTGGTAGTCAATTTCAAACATCCACCGCCTTTGTACGAGAATTCATTGCAAAACTCGAAAGTATTAACGTTGGGTACGGGCGATTTGTCTTCGAAACTGACGAGGTTATCGATCACTCGTATAACGTTTCTTACATTTTCGTAGACACGTTCTATACGCTTTTGCACTTTCTTCGAATCCCCGTCGCCTCTGTTGTCATTATTACGTTCATCATCTTCGTTATTCTCAATGACTCGTCGCGTGGATTGCGTAAATTGCAAATGCGGCACGGGAACTGAGAGCTGAGACTGCTGCATTCGCAAATTGTAAAACGCTTTCTTTTCCCGTGTTCTCTCGCCATTCATCATGTACGGTTCGAAGTGCTCCTGAATATCAGTCTTAAATTAGCTAAACACATGTATATATTAAAGCGCCAAGTTATATTTCGCATGTTATTCAACTTTCCAGGTTAATTTTATACCTCGCCGTTGTAATAATAACAGACACCGGCGCCTCGACAGAAAGACGTCTTGAAGGTTTCGTTGTCGTAAATGGGCACGTGTACGTACAAATACGGAAACAATTGAGCCCAGAATAAATCCTCCAGTGTTTGAAAGGTACCGGGTCCAAAGTACTCGTGCGTCCAGCCTGGTGCAAAAATAGCTACGGAAAGATCGTGTTTCCGTATCAAATTCAGCGCCTGTGATAATAAAAAAAAATAGTTTTTATTACACGTTTTTTTTTTTTTTACCGTGCGACAAAATGCGACTAAAACAAACAGAAATTACATATGCGGAGTTAAATCCACCACCGCCTGGACATCCTCTTCCCCAAACATCCAATCCTACATAAATATCCTTAATGTTGCGACCTAAATTCTTCGCTAACGCATGACTGTTGCTGAGTTGCAACTCCGTCCAAGTATAATTCAAGAATATGCCGTCACAGTTTAAGAAAAAGTCTCTAAAACAATTAAATGTGCCGTTAGAAATCATAACAATAGAAATGTGATGAAAATATAACAGGAAACGTTACTAAATTTTAATTACTTGTTATTGTCGTTGAGTTCGTTCTGCCAATTTAAATCTCCGTTTTTAGTGACACTGTCGTACCAAATAATCTCGGAATCCTCGATCTCCTTGTGAATACTTTCCGTTAAATACTGAACAAAATAGATCAAGTTGTTTATATCGTTTTGTCTGATCTTATTCTCAACGTTCAACAGCCAGCCCTCAAACTGGTAACACTTTGCAACCAATACCAGGATGTTCGCAAATCTTCTCGTTTCCTCCCGCGATACTAGAATTTTGTCCCAGGTGTCGTTGTTCCCTTCCGTAATTACAGTACCTAGTACTTTCACACCGTGTTGGTGAGCAGCTTTGATCCAACCGTAAGGCGGAATAGTCACAAAGTGGTGGCTGAAGTAAACGAATGTGTCAACCACATTCCAGTGATAAAACACATAAGAGTCGTGAGAAGTGGATCCCCATAAGAATCTGCAAAAAATAATGTACAATAATGTGACAATCACGATAAACTCATGCATCTTCTAAGTTCAATATCTATTTTACACAAGTACCTGTCCTCCAGATAGCCACCCTTCATATCGTGACAAACCAGTGTTCTAGGCTGATCCTCTCTGTCTACTTTTTCCAATGGAATGTTTCCTGAGTTAATTTCCGAACCTCGGTACACGTAGTCCGTAGACTCTGCGATATACACCGCTGGCATGCCGTGTCCCGTCCAAGATCTGTCCGGTCCATTGTCGAAGGCATCGTACAATTCTTGTAACGTGTTAAAAGGACGCGATTCCGTCACTTGATTGCTACTCGACATTGTCCGTGGTGTTTGATGCACTACCTACTTTTGCATTCTCTGTTGTTACACTCAAACTCTGTCCTTCAGTGTCAACACACTGATATAATAAACTCTTTTATATCACCGGAAGGCACATGCACTGGTGCGATAAAATCCATTCAAGAAAAAATGGCCTGTGGTTTTTGATAGTGCAATTCTGTGTCTTTGTGGTTGAATTAACGAGAGTCGATTATCTAATCTTTAGTTTGGATACCGCTATCTAGTAGTGAGACGTTTTTCCAACGTAAAATAAGTAGCTTCAGCCGAGAACGCGAAATAAGGTATAGCTTCGCTTTTATTATATGGTTTATTTACCAAATTGGAGAGCACATGTATGAAAAGGTTTTCTCGACGGAAATTGGAGATGTCTCACGTGTATATTTTGATATATCAAAAATATCTCATTTGTAAACATCAATAACAATTGATTTCAATTCTATATATATGTAAATATATGTATATATATATATCACAGGTACAAATAAGTAAATCTTTGCGTCAAGCTATCACAGTTAAGAAGAAAGCGGGCGTTATTATTTACTTTTATGCGTAACACACTGCGTAACACATGGTTGCACATGGTCTATCTCGCTGAGATCGTAACATTGACTTGACCTGACCTGACTGTTTTGTAGCTCGAGGGTTTCACGACATACATCCGCCCGTACATCAGGCTGAGATGATCCTAACATGTTTGTACACATAACCTAATCTAAGACATCTAACCTAGCTTGATCCAACTTTTTGACGTCATAGATAGATATTGGCGCGCAAGGTCGGACGAGTGATAACGAAACAAAGCCACATTGTGTCAACTACAGTATCAACAATATACAAGCACCACTCTATGCTATCAACACGTGTGTAAGTGTCCTAGTAATTAATCGCGTCCCATATTAGCGAGTCAAGCTTTTGTTTTAAAAATTTAATTAAAAACAAAATTCACGTGTATATACTGTTAAACACATAATTTTTCAAAGTGCGGAATATATAGTTTTTATTTTTATATACAGTTTACTAAAAATGTTTTATATTTACTAAAAATAAATTTAAAACAGAAAAATTGCAATTTACTATTTTATACACGTGTGGGCGGTAAAAATACAAACATCTGGACGTTCATGAAAGTCTTCTTTATTTCAAGAGTACAATTCTTTTGGTGAAGATATGTGTAATCCCAGGGAATACTTATGTGGTATGTATAATAATATATATATGAATATGTATATATATATATAGACAATTGCGCGCGCGTAAGATGACTGGAAGACGTACGAGATCGTTACTCAAACGTGAACGAAAACGAACAATGAATGAGATTCGCTCATTTTCATATGGAGATGGTCCCGTGTGTATGTAATGATGTGCCGTTTTCTTCTTCTCTTTTGTTTTTTTTTTTTTTCGTTTCGTCTAAAAAACTTTACAAGTTTCCGCAAACGAGAAGGTGTACTAGTGTCATCAATTTGATGTGGATTGTCGTTAATATTGGTGCTGGAAAGAGTTTTTTCTATACGTTCTATATAATTCCACACAACTAATTCTTTGTGCGTGTAAAAGGGATATTTCAAAAATATCGCTTCTAATATCGATTCTGCGACTTTTCGCTGCTAAAAATTTCTTCTCTTTCTCGTAATCAATCCGACAGTAATTATCGATTATTCTATTCGTACGTTTGAAATCGGGCAGGACAGGCCGCTGGATATATGCAAAATAATAGTGCGTTGACAATTGTGGAAAACGATGTATGAAGATGTGTGTGTGTGTGTGTCATTTCCACTGTAAAATAAACGAATTTAGAACTACTTTATGTTTAATTCCTAGGTATTAATTTTGATTCGCGCATTTTATGATAATAAGATCCTTTCTCTTTCTCTCTCTTTCTCGCGTGAATATAACACCTTAGAATCAAAATCGTTTCGATCGATTTTGAAATAAAACAATGTTACACGAGAAGATTTCTTTCTCTTTTTCTCTGTTTCAGTCGCGTCGTCGAATTTTCGAATCAATTTTGAAAGACACAACAAAAGTTTCAAATTTTCGTTTTTGTTCTAAAGTTTCTTTCGGTTATTTTTCAATTTAGAACGCACACATTGGACAAATTAAACATTGTCATTTGTATTGTTTTTATCGCTCTGTCCTCTGGTTATTTCGTTGAAATAAATAATTCCAAAACGTTTCCGTTGACCTTGGCGCGGAACATCAACCTACTTAATCTAAAAATTGTATAAATTGTTACACAAACTTATCCTCGGGTTGTATATCACATTTGGAAACTACCTACGCGGCTATCTATTATAAACAATCGATTTCTCGTCGTCGAAAAAGTATGCAACTACGGTCCTGCAATTTATCACCCCTACCCTGGTTTCCTCTAATTTCTAGCCACAAAGAGACACTACGTTAAATACCTCGCGCTTCGCGCTGAATAATATCCCGAGACGTGAAAAACGCTCGGAAAATATCACTTGTTTAACAAAATCGTTTAAATTACTGTACGTTGTTTTTTTTTTATATCATGGGAACCAGATAATATGCAGTTAGCTTGCTTGTCTAGCGGGAGAACGAGTACAATCCCAGTTAAGAAAATAATTCAACTTAACAAAACATGATAAATGTCACTGTAAAATTAAATGTTCTGTGTTATACAAAATTGCGGTTTCCATCAAATTAATTCTAATTTCTCGTTATCGTGGACGCGGATTACACGCACAATGTTTACTCTCCTTAATTCCGTGGTTCTTTGGGTGATTTATGTATATATATATGAGTGTATAATATAATACTATTATATAACACGCGCACATACTCTTGTTTAAGTCTAGTAGCAGTTCGTACATGTAAGGGAAAAGTTACGGTGTTCTATATATAAATCTTATGAACATTTCTACTGCCATTCATTTCTGAGATGCGGTTACTGCGTAAACTATTACATAATACTAAGAATTTTTTTGTTACTCTTTGCTGTAGTTTATTTAATATATATAGATATAGTGTGTTTGGTTTAACTAATAAGTACATTTTTATTTTTATTTTTTTTACACATTAACGCAGAAGTATTTTTTTAATTGATAGAACCACTTCTTTAAATATAAAATAAAAAAATTTAGTTTGAAAGTTCGTGTATATGTAAATTGTTATTTGAAGAAAATTTAATAATTTTATATTCAATTAAATCGGTAATTGTTTACATGCGCGGTTTACAAAAGCGGTGTTGTTTAACAAACATTTCTATTATTTTTTCTCTTTATTATTGAGTTATATATTAATATGTAAACCAAACACACTTTATATGAGGATAAATACACTCGCTTAATGTGGTATTTTATGTATGTATATATATATATATATCTATACCTTTAGGTACGTTATAAGATAAATTATATAACTTTGACTAGAATAATTTTACTGGAGATCAGTTTCACTTAGGATATGATAAAGATATGGCAAAGAGTATTATCGAGTCTCATAACTGTCGTCTAATATAACGAGACTAAGCTCAGTAATATCATTCTTCGCCGTCTCGCGTAAAGAGTCTTATACAGACCGATATGCGTATATTTTGCATATATACGTGATTTAATAGTAGATTATAGGCCGATGTCTACAAAAACATTCGTTTCGTAAGTTTCACGAATATGACTCTCTTTTTTCTACATATCGAAACTAAATTTATTCTATAAATCGCTACGTAAGTCGAAATCTAGGCCAAGTATTTGCGCCCACGCAGTATTTACAGAAAAAATATCAAGCCCTCGTTCTCTCTCTCTCTCTCTCTCTCTCTCTCTCTCTCCCTCTTTCTGTGAAAGAATAAGTGAATACTAAATTGTCATCAGAGAGATTTTTTTATGTAGCAAATACACATGTTTGTTAATATTCGAGAAGGTTATTAATGAGGCCATTAAAAAATGTTCAGCCACTTTTGTTCTCACTCGTTGAGGGTTTTTTTTATAGAAAAAATTATCGCTAGAAAGATGTTTTCTCCGCTACCGCGCCTTCAGGACTACGCCCTCGATGTTTCGTCGCCTGACTCGAAACTTTGTTGAATACATTTATGACGCGACAAACTTTGAAGGCACAATAGGGAGACGATTTTCTTCTATAAAAAAGAACACAAAGACACGTAATCATCACCAAAACCCACTAAGCGCAAATATTTTTTTATTAATTTCACACATTCGAAGAAAGTAATACGCGTTATTTTTTTTTTTTTTATAAAAAAATATATAAGATCGTACGCCTATACTTTGAAAGATGAATCTCCAACTTAATGGGTTTTGATACGAGTCTTCTTTGTTCATTCGCGATGATCAGTGAACTGTTACAAACTCAAGGTCGTTATATTATTTTCTTTTTTAATACTCGAATTGCTAAAATCTTCGTATTATTCCTCACCAGGAATTTCTGACTCTGTTATTCACATTGCGTTTAATTAGACGAAATTCTCATAATTGCTGTTGCGTGCCTTTCATTACAACCATATCGCGATATCGTCAAATACAAGTAAGTTCACGCGGTTTTGCAGTTTGTTATCAAATCGTTTCTAGAAACTCTCGTCGATACCCCGATCCCGCGCCAGATTGAAAACTTCGAAGTCGCCGTCAGGTGCCTCGGGCATATCGGGAGCGACCAACATTTCGGGTCGCAACGCTACACAGTCTTTTGGTGAACATTCGACGCGTCCTTCAGAGCCACAGCTGCATTCGATGCAATTCCCAGTCGAGTGCGGTAAAGTCTCACCTTGTCGATACTCTCTTCCTATAATTCAAGTAGCGCGTATACATACGAATTCTCAAACACACAAGGCCGATGAGAGCACATGGGATTACATGTGTACATGAAACGCGATTCATACACACAATTGAAACAGTTTCAAAAAGGTTACAAGCATAGATACTGCAATTGAAAACCGTTACGATTTTTTCGAAGAGTATTTTATATAGTGCGATATAAACAAATAATTTTAAAATCAAGTTAGTATTAGTATTTGATAAATAATGTATTATCTTATGAAAAAAAAAACGGATAATAAATATATAAATATGCACGTAAAAGTGCATGTAAGACAAGAGAAACAGACTAATCAAGAGAAATTAATTAATACCCATGACGATGCACGTAGTCGGTAGAGAAGACATCGCGGTCGATGAAGTGGCGTTAATTTCTATTTGTCCTCGTTGGTCAATCTGCAATTCAGAATCGCCGGAAGCTCCGAAGCCGTCCACAATGTCCGTACTCATTTCTAGGGATGGAGTGTAATTGCTCTCCACCGTGGTCGATTGCAGGGAAGACGGGCCAAGCGACGGGGCGGTGCTCGGATTATAATTCTGCCACCAACAGTAAACTTCACCGGCGACGCACAGGCAATGCGAATTCGAGTCGTAAGACGGTATCTGTATGAAAAAATAACGATGCGAGCGTGTAAAAAAGTTAATTAAAACCTATGTAAAAACTAATTGGATCAAAATGTGTAGAGTGAGAGAGAGAGAAGAAGAAGAGGAAGAGAACTCGGCGCGCACATGTAATTTCATTTCGGAGAATAATGTAAATATGTATGTATTCAACAATTTCCTATCTCTGTGTGTGAGATGATGAAAAACATTTTGCAAGAAAATTTAACAAATCAAAGTAAATTAAAATATAACACAAAGTATTTTTGTCTCGCGCTTTTCTCTTTCTCTCGTAAAGCACGTGTACTTTTTTTTTTTTTACGAGAAATGTACATAGCACGGCCTGTGTCTCAATGCGAACCTCCTTCAAGAGGTGTGACCTCCTTGCTTATACGACACACACTCGTGCTATGCGAGCTACTAACCCGAACTATTAATTACGCAGACGTAACACCAGTTACTAATTAGATAGATATACCCTATCATTAGAGAGGGAGTGTATAACGCAACTCCGGAAATTGGTGTATATTCCAGACGGCGCGATAATATTTAAAAAAAAAAAAAAAAAAACGTATTTAAGAACAACGTACATAGGACGTCTCGTACGTATTTAAATATTCAGAGACCGGAGCTTTAGACGTGTCTGAAACGTTTCAAAAATATCCAGTGTTTTCCGGACGTAACAAAAGCGTGCATTTTACGCAACACAACGGACCAAATGGCGACGTCAAAACAATTTCATAACTATTTTCCCAAATGGGAGAACTAATAAAACTGAATTTGTAGTTTCTAACTATGTAGTTTCTGAACTGAACTAAATAGTTTTCACGGCTGTGAATGCGTAACGCTTCTAAAATATTGGAAAATATACACAGTTTGTCCGGAAAGTTCCCGGACTGATTTTTTCTAGCGCGGGTAAGCGGCGCTATCGAGCGGTCAACGCTGGAACTACTTAGT